AGATTCTTGTTTGAAGGATCTGCAATGTTATTGATCCTGACCTGGCATCTCATTTTCAGTTATTCTCCCACTGTCATAATGTAACTTCCTATGCCTTTTCTATAAATACATTGTGGTAATTGTTTTGATGAGTTTTCCTTTTTGGTATCAAGATGTCATGAATTTAAAACTTATGGTCACATCACATTGAAACACCTGTTCCTGTATGATCACTGAAGTTAAGCAATATTGAGCCTGGTTAGTACATCAATGGTTGACAGCTTGGGAATACCAGGTGCTGTGAGCTTGGACATGTGGGTTGTATGGCTTATGGTCATGTCAGGTTGAAAAACCAGTTCTCGTACGATCACCAAAATTAAGCAACACTGAGCCTGGTCAGTACCTCAATGGTTGACTGCTTGGGAATAGTAGGTGCTGTAGGCTTGGATGTGTGGGTGGTGTAATGGATAATGGCTCAGAATTGTTAATTGGAGAGCCAAGTTTCGAATCCATTTGGGTTCATTATATCCACTTACATGCAAATATTCTTGGGATAGGTATGAATCCGACACTTCTCCTCCCAACTATGGGTTAATTAGTAAGACTTGTATCACTAAACCATCATTATTATAAAAAAAAATAAAATCTTACAATCTAAAAATATTTTCTAGCTTTAAATAACCAATAAAGACAAGCTGTAAAAAAACGAATCAATCAGTCTTTCAAGATCGCATTTTATGTTGGCTCATCTAGAAACTGCCACTTTTGGATTTTGCATTTTTTAACATCTTCTAGAAACAGTTGCCCACTTTAGATTGTTGCAAAAAGGACAATAGAGTTACTTCCCTTTAACACGATCTTCCAGCAGAAATGAAACAAGTCGCTAGAAATAATAAGTCGACCTCACTCGCTCTCTCTTTTCCCCTCGGTTGTTTACTTTTTTATCGTGTTAGGCGAGTCGTTAATATTTTCTGAGGTGTGGCAACCTAATAACAGGGATATCAAAAAAATCGTTTTAACGCACACAAAAGAAGTCTACCTCATGATACTGTCTTGTGATGTTTTTTTTTCTCCCCTGGGTTTTGTATAGAAGGGGAGAAAAACGCTTACCTTCTTCCTCCCGTAGCAGCACAACAAACCGGGAAGCAGAGTGAATTGTTTGTTAAGATAGGAAGATTAGAGTTAGACAGACGGATGTGAAGATATATCTGTGATTGTATTTATCTTCCCATTTTTAATAGGTAAAACGAAAAGAGGTTGGGTGTTTATTCAAAGTAAGGACCTTAGTGATTCATTGGAATGAACTGGAGATTATCTCTTTGACGTCTGTGTCCAGTCGTCAACATCGGATCCATCGTCTGCCGCATTTTTGTGTTCAACTACTGCTGTAGCAGGAGAAGACAGAAGACGTATTAATAATCGGGGTAGGGGGAAAAAGAAAGAAAAAAATACACATATTGTTATATCTATTCTTCGATTTTATTACCTTTTTGGCTTTTCCAAGCATCTGGCTAAAAAAAAAGTAAAAAGTGATAGAAAGATATCATTGTTTAACTTTTGTTTTCTACGTATAAAAAAAATCGTGTCTGCTTTTATTTTTATTGTAGTTAGCAAAGCAAACGAAAAATACAGTCCTTAAAATTTAATTAAATCATAATTTCTTTTCTTTCTGTTCCAAAAAAAAAAAAAAAACCCAGAAAACGAACCCAGCGATCAACATTAACATATCAGATACCGTCATTACCAAAACGACGAAACACGACGAAGGCTACTACAAAATCTCCAATCCTGGTTGAGATTTGCCACTTTTCGTGTTGGCCACTCTAACACGAAAATGTCGACCCCAAGCGACCAAAGGGACACGGTGGATAAAGGCCCCCAGCAGAAAAAAGGCCTCCACCAAAAACCATCAACCCCAAAACAAGATTTGGGATCACGATCCAACCTAGCGACATCTGTGGTGACCACTTCAACTTGGGAGGCGAGTGTTCGGGTGGCCAGTAGCAGCGAAGACACTGGTCAGGGTGATGCTCAACTGCCACCCTTGTTACCAGAGGCTCGATCCAGATCTAGATCAGCTTCGTCCTCTCCGGGTCATCGACGTCATGGACCTCGCCCTTTGTCCGTCCTTACTAGGACAACCACAAATACGTCGGTGGCGGACAGCCTCCTACATCAGAATCCAATACTTAAAGAGCATGAACCCCTTACGACTCTGCTTGGCTTGATTCCTGCCAAAGCACAAAAAGGAATGTTTTCTGAATGTGAATTACAATTGACATGCATTGCAGCAAATGGTGACTACCTCGCCCTGGGCACTAACGTGGGACTTGTGTTTATGTATAACAGAAAGAAACGGTGCTTGGACAGGTTACGATGTGATGTAAGTATTTCTTTTTTTGCTCATCTCATTCATATGGTGAAGAAATACGACGTATATCAGAATAATCTCTCTCCTATAAGTCGTGTTTTGTTCAGTTCCCTTAAAAAAAAAAAAAAAAAAAGTAAGAATATAGTCTAGATCGGGCTTTCTTTTCCTAGTTGGCAGCCAATCTAGGAGAAGGAAAATGTTGACTTCAAACTGTCTTTTCGGGAAGGATAATGTTGTTAAATGTTAAGTTACAGTATTTAACCGTCCTGGGTATGACGATAAACTACATCCGGCAGCAAGGCCTCTGGTCGGCAGGTTTTGAGGAGCATGGAACTACCTAATTACTGTTGTTCCCAGATCCACCATGACCCGGGGTGGTAGCACCTGTTAGGGTCCATTTGGGGCTAATAGTTAGCCCCCAAACTGGAGTCAAAACACTATAAAAATTTATACCACTTAAACAGCAATATTTTCATAGTAAAAAAAAAAAATACCAGAAATACATTTTTTTTATAAAAAAATTAAAATTACCTGCAATACATTTTGTTTTTAAAAGAAATTATTAATGTTCCAAAGAAAATTAAATTTCGGCATAAATGACCCTTTAAGGAGTTTTATATGCGTAAAAACAAACAAGTTAAGTCTTTTTTACAGTTTGACATTATTTCGTTATTTAGACAATAGAACTAAAAAAAATGAAAACATGAAGAGGGTTGTTTGCAGATTTCGTGGTACATCGTGCATCATTTTTTGTTACCATTTCTTCTGTTTAAAAAGTATGGCTGGTTCTACATGAGCCTTGATCACTCGGGATCAAATCTCTGTGGGTAGTCTAGCGATGCAGTTTGAAACTGAACTGTTGGGTCTTCCCCTTGAACTTCTTCATGCATCATAAGTGACAGTTTTAGTGTGCGATGATTTATTATTGTTTTTTGTCTTAAGATTTAAAATAAATACATTAATACATTGTACAACATTTGTTTAAAAATTTCGAGCGAAACGGTGTCTAAGAGGTGTGATTATTTATTTAACTAACAACATAAAAAAAAAAAATGTGATTTGATTTAAAATAAATCATTAAAATCGTGGATTTTTCCCCTTTAAGAAAATAGTCTGAGAAATTTAAATGAATCAAGAGAAAATTACTCTGCGAATCATAAAAAAATCGTTTTTAAGAGTAGATTTTTATCCCCCGGGCACTCACTTTTTTTTTTTTATTTCAAAGTACGATTTATGACAAGGTGGTCACATGACCAAACTCACCATTTACTACTGTCGTTTTAACACATCGACTTGTTTTACTTTTGTATAATTATAGCGATTCGTCGCTGTTTTTAAAAGGTTTTTTTAGTAAGAAAGATTCATTGCTATATTAATTATGAAATGTTATTTCCCACCCACTTCAAATATCTCTTTCCATAAAAACTATCAACTTTTAAACAATCTACTCCAATTACACTTAAAATTGTGAATTTATTTGTTAGACTGATCATATCAAAGTATGAGGTAAAAAAAATCTTTTCTTTTTTATGGGCACCTGATAGAGAACAAGCTGCCAAGCCATTTTTAAGCCAACCGGTTGTTTCAGGTTTATTTTTAGTTTTACAAAATGAAATTCGGTGCCTGATTTGTAAAGCCATTTATTTATTTGTGACTTATTACAGATTTTCTGTAAAAAAAAAGACTGTTTCATGGGACATAAAATGTAACTGGCAACCTTGGCTCCAATTACAAGTCAGCTGTTTAAAAAAAAAATCTAATCACGGAGATTTACAAGAACCTACCCTAATTAATTATTTATTTTTACTTAGACATTACAAATTTTGTCAAACTGATTATTACAATACAACATTGAAGTTGAACAGAGGACATAATCGATTCCAGTTTTTGAACTCAACATTCAAACAGATTTCTTTATGCAATCTTCATTAAAGGAAAATTAAAAATGTGACTGCGAACATAATTAATTATATATTTGATTGATTTAATCAATTAGTTGGACATTGTATTCATTCGTAATCTGGATAGACAGTGGTTTTTGAGGATCTAATTAATTCCAGGAGTCGAACCTGTACCAGCTGGTTCCAATGTATTTACCAGAGAACTACTTCCCGATTCCTTTTCTGAAAAATAAATGGAATGTGTGTTGTGTTGGTTGGTATCACCAACAACACATCACATTTTCTCTCATGATGAATAATTGTTATTTTTATAATTAATTTTCTTTCTTACACATAACAGCTGGGACATTTTTCAAAATAAAATGATTGATTTAATGATTTTTCTAAAAAAAACAAATAACCAGCATTCCACTATTTATTTTAATTTGCAATGAACGACACCGAGGTAAAAAAAAAATAGGGACGAGGTACAAGCTAATTTCAAATATTTCTTTAGATCGGGCGTTTATTTACTCTGCAGTTTTGTTTTAACGAGTTGTCTTGATATTTTATGATTATTGTAAGTATATTAGTATTAATTAGCTACTGTGTTTCTACTTCCGAGTTCAAATCACCTTGCTCTGGCAGTTCAATTCGATTTGGTGACACACACACACACACACATATATATATATATATATATATATATATATATATATATATATAATTATTAATTATTAATTACTGTGATTGAGTAAAAAAAATTAAAATATGACCACTATGAAAACATTTTAAAAAAAGTTTGCTGTTTGATCTTTAGGGCTAAAAAGTTATAAGAAGAAGGGTTCTAATCCAGGAGGCATTTTCTCATAATTAATTTAAATTAAATTACTGTTTTTAGCTGAGTAACAAAGAGAATTAACATCAAAGTCCAGTTGTGAAGACGTCAATTAATTAACAATTATTGCTAAGAGTGACAATAGGATTTAACAAACTGCAAAACAACACTAATCTGATTTGAAGTTCGAACCCTACTGACACCTAATTTACTTGTTGACATAATTGTAACTTTTAGTTTTACATTAAAAATGAAAATAGGTTACTTTGACGAAACAAAGGAAACTCTCTAACTCGTACGAAAATAAACGTGTTTCTGAGAGAAAAGTGCTGATGAAAAAAATAAAATAAAAATAATTGTCAATATTAAATTATTAATCATCATTTTTTTAATGTACGTAATTTTTTTTTGGTTTTATTGTGTAACGGAAATTTTCAAAATATTTAAAATTTTGTTTCTATTTAAAAAGAAAAGAAAATCAAGATTGTGGCGTTTATTGCGAACTAAAAATAAAAAGACTTGTTGAAATTGAATGAATACTTGTGCTTTTTTTAGTTTGTCTCAAATCTCTTTTTTTGTTCGGCTTACAAATATGAACAGACGAAGATTAAAAAAGAAAAAAAATCTAATAATTTTTAAAAGATACGAAAAAAAAAGAACTACTTTAGAAATTTGGGTTTTTTTTACTGATAGAAATTCTTGTCAATGTCACTGGCATTTTTACCAGACCTTAGTTCTAAAAATGTTTTGCAAAAAGAAAGTAAAAGAGAAAGTATTGTTTTGTTTTTCCCTTTTTTTTAATAAGTTCTGTTAAATTGTTAGTTTTTTCTTTTGTTTGTTTTACTCTCAAGTTCTATAAATAATATTAATCATTTTCGAAAGAGATTGACTGACGTATTTCCTTTTTATCTTTTTTATTTTAATGTTGAAAAAAAAAAAGACATTAATCTTCATTATTCGCATCAAGGCCATTCGCATCCAATGCTTTGTATTTTAGACCGAAATTTCCCCTAAGGGAGACTGGGTGGGGGATGAATTCCAGACTTCTCTCTCTTGAGCAAAAAGGCATTTTCTACTGCTGTGTAGAACCTTACCTTAACGTTATTGTAAAAAAAAAACAGCAGACCTGTAGTTGCAGCTTTTTAAGCTGTTGTTATGCAGATAAGAAATGCATATCAGCAGAAGTTACCTGACTGGTGGCTTTAAGCCCTAAACCAGCCAGTTTGATAGATTCAAGTTTGAAAAAATGGAAATCGATTCTTAATCCTTAAAAAAAATCTTACTAGTCTATTTCCTATGCAGTCAGTGGTCACACAGTGTTGGGGAAAATCTCGTAAAGCAGTCTCTAGTGTTTATTTTCCAATTGCAATACAATATGTACATTTTTAATTAATACAATAATGGATCAGTTGCATTTTGATTCGAAATTTACATTGTATGTGGGGACGCGTTGGGTTAAATTTACTGAGAAGGAAGGAGATACGGTGAAAAATAAATACGTAGGGTAATGAAAAAATTTAAATGTGACCAAATGACAAAACATCAGAATTTATTTTAGAATTCCTTCTTGTATGAGTCTGTAACTTTTTGGAACTTGTCTTCTTGTATATCTTTTCTAAAGTATTATTATTATTATTATTATTATTATTATTATTATTATTTTTTATTATTTTTTTTTTTTTTTTTTTGCGATTGCAAGTCAATTTTTTAAACTCTGGACTAAATGCATTCACAATATAAAGGAGATATCACAGGGTCAGTGAAACGAGAACAATCTACAGTAAACATGTTTATTAAATAAAATCTTAAATGGTTCAGTTTGAAATTCTCTGCTGAATGTTACTCAGATGGACAAGCACCTGATAAATAACAGAATGGTTAAAAAAAACGTTGCCATAATAACAACAAAGATGAAGATGTGTCTAAATAATAAATAAACAATAATTCCTCGTTCAAGTAATTCAGATGGAAATTATCATAGCTGGCCGCTCGTATCAGATTGTGCCTGTCTACTAGGCCGGCTAGCCAATCATTGTTGCAGACGCCTGCTAGGAAACATTTGTATTTATTCAACACCTGCAGAGCCTACCTCTGCAACTAAGCTGAGCGGACCTTAGTTACAGTTTCTGGCATTATTTGATGTGATCAACAGATGTGAACAAGGCCAGTGCACTCAAACCCTCAGTCACAATGACTTGTGACTTTATGCTAGCACAGCCATTAACAGCTCCCAATCTACACAATTTCACTTACAAGGCTTGTGGCATGTTTTTTGGGCACTTTCCAAAGGCGCCACATGCTGAGATCACCTCCTCAGGCTGATAACATCAAGAAGTCACTTTTCTGACAAATCAATCTTGTTGAGGTTCGAACACAGGTCTCATGAAAATGAATATTAAGCTTTCTAAATATATGATCAAGCCATTTAATAT